TCAGCAGATATGGGAAGTGGGGTCCTTGTTTCTGACGGTGAGCTAACAGTGGTAACCTCAAATGTTTTAGTTTTAAATTCTCTGTTCTTCATTCATAGAGGTAAATTAAAACAGCCTATAGAAAATGAAACACTATATGGGAGCTCACTGTTTACTTTTTTATAGTATATATACTTGCTTTATGCCTTTTGTTTTCATGCATTAGAGTTTCTCAGGCAGGGGGTAGATTCACCATATTTTACTGAATCTAAGTTGCCGTCAGTTAAGGTTTATGTTATTCATGTCATCAAGAAAGAAGGCAGTGCTGCCAGTCCTGCTGTGATGCATTGCCTTCGTGTCACCTGGTGGCTCTATTCTGCAAGCTTTGACACTGATGTCATCCTATTTGACAGCTCACCCTCTGTTTTTCTTGGGTTGTCAAGGGAATTTGAGCACTTTCTGCCAAAAGTGGGCATTCAGCTAATGGATACTCATTGCCTGGAAACTGTTCTCCAGCCTTGGCCGTGTTGCTGTGCATGCGTTAAGCATCCTTTTCAGATTTAGTCCTTCCACAGCTTCACCTCCTGGCAGGGAGTCTTTCTTTCGTAGGTCCCAGAAAGCATTTGATTGTTGCCTTGCAAGAAAATATGGAATTGTGGTCATTCCTCCAGTGATGACCCTTTGATTCATGAATATGAAATTTACATCGTGCTGCCCTCTTCCTGTGTCTTTCTGCGTGCATGGTAACTCGTCATTTTAATGCTGAATCATAGTGAGCTCTTTCTGGCGACATTTTATTTTATTTTATTTTTTATTTATTTATTTTATTTTTCTGGAGACATTTTAAATGGCAGTTAAGACCAGCTCGGAGAGAACCAACAGTGCCTGTGATTCATGTGAATGGAGGACATAGGAACACCGTGGCCACCTTCATGCACGCGAAGGGGTGAAAGCACACATTGCAGCTGCTGTTGGGCTGACAGCGGCTGTAAGGCAGCACTGAGTGTAAGACATCCAAGTTGTAGACATAATGAAATATAACCCAAAAGAGGTTTGGGTATTGATTCAGTATAGTGCTTGTTTTTAAAAGAATGACGAAGTATTCTAGTGATAGTACTAGTAATCACTGGTCTGCACCAGGGCTTTTTAAGGAAATTATGAAGAGGGGAGGCTACCAAGTGTACTTTTGTGGTGTATCGAGAGATCCAATCCCATCAGTTTTTAAAATAGGAACTTATAAAGTGATCCTGTTTCTGATTCTTGAGTTGCTTTATTCCCCACTGTGTTGTTCTTAGTGTCTTTATACCAGTTCACTCTCACTGTCAGAGAAATGAGATCTGGCAAGAAATGGAAAACCAGGGACACAGGCAGGGGTGTAGCAAAGGAGTGTGGGTGTCAGGCAGTTTGCTCCTCTGTGGCCCCACAGTGGCTCTGGTGATGTTTTCCCTCAGTGGTTCCGGGGAAATTACTACAGGGTTTGGAAGTCAGACTTGTGTGACACGTGGTGTGCTTTCCCCTCCACTTGATAAGATTAATAAGGATCATCTTCGAAAATGTGAAAAATGAAAACTTATGTTTACAGTGGCAGTTAGGGAAATTCTGACAGAAGTGATGAAACAAGCAGCTTCCCTGGACCGCCAGCCTGGGCCCAGGCCCTCTGCAGGACTCACCCTGGTTACCAGCCTGGGTAGTGTCCTGAATCCTCTCAGACCTTTGCCTCTGATTTACCTCCCATTTCTGTACACCTAGTTACAGAAATTGATTTGTGGGGGCTTTTGAAAAACAAAAACAAAAAATACAAAAAAACACATTGATATATTGTTTGTGTTGTTCTGTAACTTTGTTTCCTTTCCTGTGCTGGTGTCTGGAGGTCTTTCCATGTTCAGCAATATAGGATTACTTCTTTCTTCATGATTGCTACATAGTACATCATCATCATTCTGTGATGGTGTAAATGTTCTATCTGCTGTCAGAATGGCAGCCACACGTACCTGTTGAGTCCTTGAAATGTGACTGGAGAATGGAATCCTTCATTTTATTTAAGTTTAATTAATTTAAATTTAAATAGCTACCTGTTTAGATGTTTAAAGCACAAGTTTAAATGAGCCACAGTTTTTTCAGCCATTTCCCTCTTGCTTGGATATTAGGTTGTTTTAATTTTTCACTCTTTTAAGTGAAATATTTTATTTTCAAAAAAAAAAAAATATG